TAGAATTCAAGAAAAAATATAGCAGTAAGTTCCATGGGTTTGTTTTGCTTTTTGTGATTTCTTTGTTTTTTTGGAATATTGTTGTTCACTTTGCTTTGTTTTGCTTCATATATTCCTTACTGTATTCTGGAAAAGATACTACTTGAAAACAATAGGTGCAAATAAAAAAGCATCAAGAAAAGATTGCTCTTTCTACTTAAAAGACGAAGGAAGGAAGGAAGGAAGGAAGGAAGGAAGGAAGGAAGGAAGGAAGGAAGGAAGGAAGGAAGGAAGGAAGGAAGGAAGGAAGGACACTTAAGGCAGCAAATACAACAGGACTCTATGATCACCTTTACCACTAGTCTAAAGTATATAATCAAATAAACAGGCTGGACCAATGTTTTAATACTGTATTACAATTATGCAAAAAGTTCTTCACCTTGAAGAACTGGGTGAATACTACACATTGTCTCTGTTGCATATTTATAACTTCCTCTGTTTTTTAAGTTTAAAAAAAGTATCAGCATAACTTGTAAGAATAATGGATTATGATTAAAATCCTATGTTTATGCAAAAGTATCAGAAAATATCTCAATAGTCAGCAATGGTTGTTAAAAATGAAAAATAATCCTAATCAATTTCAGAAAAAAATAATAGAATTACTATGTGACAAATATACACTAAAGATATAAGAAAATCAAGTGTCTATAAATAAGAATTTTCATGTATCAATTAAAAATAAGAAAAATTAAAAAAAAAAAACTACTTCTAAATCCATAGCAAACTATTTGTTTCAGATTATTTTAACAGACCATTAAAATTTATAAACAAAAATTTTCTAACAGGAGGATTTTCTTGGATTAATAAAAAGTTTTCCACTGAGATTAAGAATTCTTATAAATATCATATGAAAGTATACTTACTGCCTAAGCTTTCCTTTCTGAAAAGAATATATCCAGTTCAGAGTTCATGCCCTATTCTATGATAACAGCATCAATTAAAAAAATAACAGACTTATACCAATTTTTAAAAATTCAAATGCAGGAATTCTGTAACTTCATCTACAAATCAAGTGTAAAATTAATAATTGTCCTTCTTTAGAGCATGCTATGAAATTAAGATACTTGTAAGTTCTAAAGTGCACAATGATAATAATAAATTGAATGTATTTTAAATCACTTTTCCTACATCAAAATAAACAAACTGGAAACAAACAACCTATTTTAACTCTTTTGCTTATGCCTTTCCAACTTTCCCAATTATTAAAGAGGCTTTTCTTCTATACATTGTATGTTTTCCGGTCTTTTGTCAAAATTACTTGCCCATATATTTAATGCAAATTAGTTTCTGGACTCTCAATCCTGTTCCATTGAACTGTGTATTTTTTCTGAGAATACTATGCAATTTTGATTATTTTCACTCTGCAGTTTAGTTTCAAGTCAGGAAGTATGATAGCTCCAGCCTCATTCTTTTTTCTTAGGATTGCTTTGACTTTTGATTCCATAGAAATCTGGATTTTTTCTTTAAAAAAAAAAAAAAATGCTTTTGTAACCCTGGCAAGTGTGGCTCAATAGTTTGGGTGTTATTCCATGCATCAAAGAGTTGTCATTTCAATTCCTGGTCAAGGCACATTTAGGGTTATGGGCTCAATCCCTGGTAGGGACCATGCAGGTGATCCATGTTTCCCTCTCTCAATGATGTCTGTCTTTCTCTTTCCTTTCCCCCCTATCTCTAAAAATTAATTTTAAAAATTTTTAAATAAAAATGCCATTGTGAGTTTGATGATTTCATTAAATCTGTATATTTCTTTGGGTAATATGGCTATTTAAATATCTAAATACAAGAACTGAGAATCTTGTTCAACCCTTGGGTGGCTTGCTGGGCCTGAGGTGGACTCAACGGCGAAACGAATCTGGGGAGCAGGCTGGGGATCCCCAGGGCATTTGGCAAACACTGACTTAACTGACCTCAAACTATCTTATTATAACCTTAATAATATAAATAATATAAATAATAAAACATGCCAGGGGTATGTGTATGGGTGGTCAAAATTATACAATTTTGCATAAAATGTATCCCATTCCATTTGTATATACATGACTTTTTTTCTACTCCATTACTTTATACTTGGATTTAAAAAAAGAATGAAATTCAAAAATTTTTACTATCCAGTGTTTTTCTCCTGAAACTCTGTATTACGTGTATGTAATCTATTCTAATAAAAGGGTAATATGCAAATCTGTCAGGCCCCCTCAAAGTACAACTGAACAGCAGGCTGCATGAGGCGACAAGGTCGGAAGGGGGGTTAGTGAGGGACAAAACAACTGACCAGCAGGTTGCATAGGGAGATCAGGTCATAGGGGGGATAGAGAAGGGTGAACAAATGACCAAACAGCAGATTGTATGTTTTCCGGTCTTTTGTCAAAATTACTTGCCCATATATTTAATGCAATTTAATATATTTAATGCACTGAGGTGACCAGGCTGGCAAAGGGGTTTAGTGAGGGGTAACTAAATGACCAAATCGCAGGGGTAAATAGGCAGGTGGAGAGTGTTAGTGAGGGGTGATCAAACAACTGAACAACAGGCTGCATGGGGTAACCAGGCCAGCAGAGAGTGCAATGAGGGGCAACTAGGTCAGGAAGGGAGGCAGTTGGGAGCAACCAGGCTGGCAGAGGGAGGCAGTTAGGGGCAACCAGGCCAGTGGACATCCCCTAAGAGGTCCCGGGTTAGAGAGGGTGCAGGCTGGGCTAAGAAGACCATCCACACACATACCCCTGGCATGAATTTCATGCACTGGGCTTCAAGTATCTTAAAACTGAAATATATGCTGAAACCAGTTTGTCTCAGTGAATAAAGCATTGGCCTGTGTACGAAAGGTCCCAGGTTCGATTCCAGTCAAGAGCACATCCCTATTGGGGTGTGGGGGTGCAGGAGGCAGCTGATCAATGGTTCTCTCTCATCATGTTTCTAACTCTCTATCCCTCTTTCTTCCTCTCTGTAAAAAATCAATAAAATATATTTTTTTAAACTGAAATATATATTACCTAATAAAAGAGTAATATGCAAATTAACCTCCACTCTGCTACACTCACAAGTCACACCCACCAGCCACACCCACCAGCCAATCAGAGCAAGTATGCAAATAAACCCCACAAAGATGGCTATAGCCACAGAGAGCAGGAGGGAGGCTTGAGTTTCCCCAGCAATGGAGGAAGCCAGGCATTCCACCTGTCCTAGCTGGCCTAAGCCTCCACTCAAGACTACAAAATTTCAATTATAAAAAGTAAACAAATTACAACAGAAATGGCAGCAGTCACAGAGCAAGCAGAAGGCTTGGCTCTGCTCCAGGCTACAAAGTTTCAATTGTAGAAGGTAAATAAATCCCAGATACCATGGCCTCCACTTGGGTCACCAGGGGGATGGCTAGTCTGCAAACCACCAGAGGCCCCTCACTCAGGCCACCCCATGAGGACCCCCATCCTGATCCAGGACACCCTTCAGGGCAAACTAGCTGGGCCCACCAATGTATCAGGCCTTTATCCTATCTAATAAAAGAGTAATATGCAGATTGACCATCACTCCAACACACAATAGCAGCCCCCATGTGGTCAAAGATGGCTGCACCCATGTGGACACAAGATGGCCAGCAGGGAAGGGCAGTTGGGAGGCACCAAGTCAGCAAGGGTGGGATGTTGGAAGTGATCATCCCAGCAGGATAGGGCAGTTAGGGGTGACCAGGCCGGCAAAGGAGGAAAGTTGGGGCAAACAGGCTGGCAGGGGAGCAGGTAGACATCAATCAGGCTGGCAGGGGAGTGGTTAGGGGGTGATCAGGCTGGCAGGCAGAAGCAGTTAGGGGCAATCAGCTAGGCAGGCAGGTGAGCATTTGGGAACCAGCAGTCCTGGATTGTGAGAGGGATCCCAGATTAGAGAGAATGCAGGCTGGGTTGAGGGATACCCCCCTTCCGACCTCGTGCATGAATTTCTTACACTGAGCCTCTAGTATAATAATAAACATTCAACTACACACTTTATGGATGAACTCTACATAATTACATTCAGTCTCTAACACACTTTCTAATTTTCTACTATGAACTTTAAATTTGTATGTCATTATAGTATTCAATTTAACAACCAAACACAATCTGCCATATACCTAGTAACTATTCTAAAATTAAACTGAAATAGTTTCAAAAATCTATCTTGAAATGATAATACCAAAGAATGATTAAACTGTTTAATAAAAAAATAAATAAAAAATAATAATAGGTGGTTTTGCTCTGATCAGTTTAGCTCAGTAGAGAAAGCATTGGATGCGGACTGAAGGGTACTGGGTTCGATTCCAGTAAAGGACATGTACCTTGGTTTCTGGCACATCCCCAGTAGGGGGTGTGCAATAGGCAGCTGATAGATGTCTCTATCAATATTTCTGGGTCTCTATCCCTTTCCCTTCCTCTCTGTAAAAAAATCAATAAAATATATTTAAAATAACAAAAAATGGTTTAAAGATATATTATTATTAAAAGGAAAACAGAAGAATTATTCAAAGACAATGTCTTTTGACATACATCTACAAATATTTTTAAAAATTAAATGATATAGAATCATCTAGTGATAGGCATCTAAGAATAGAATCATTTCTATCCTCAAAAGAAAAATTAAGGACAGTGAATGATATCACAGAATGGAGATAACCCAATATTAGAAGCAAATAATATTAGATATTTTCTATTACACAGCAAGCAAAGTGGAAAATATATTAAATCATAGTTAATTGAAATAGTTACAAAAAAAACCTACACTAATTGAACATGAACCCAAATTCCCTTATTGCTCTTATAAATTATGACTAAGCAAAATTTTAAACATTCAATGAGTATAAACTATTAAGTGCAAGTACCAGTTTATACCAAAATTCAATTAACCTATATTTATCTTACATAATTTCAATTAAAGCATAGATGAGGATTCTATTGTAAGTTCTTGTTCTTATTTTAAGTAAAGTAAATTAAAACACTTACCTGTGTTTCATACAAGTGAGCTATATGAAACTGAACTACAAAGGATCATGGAAAGAAATTAATTATAATACATCCGAGTTTTAGGTAATAAACAAAAATAGATAATAAAAATATGAAAAATAAGAAAATGCTAATTCATAATTACAAATTTGACTTAGAAGGTGTAACTTTTATTTATCTACTAAATCAAATAAATATTATAAGCATGCTTTTAAAAAGCATTCTTTACTATTAAATAATAATTTATGTTAAATAAAAATCTCATCCACTTATTTTTAATTGCAAATAATATTTGCACCCATAGAAATCAGTAATAAATAAATTTACACAGTTCAAACTGATCATATTAGGTATAATATTCTAAATGTAATATCTTGACATATGGCATTCAGTACTGTCACCATGAAATTATACTTTTGACAAAGTTATACACAAGAAAAATGTGAGTGAAAATAAATACTTTATTAGTATTTTAGTTTATATAATAGAAAAATTTTGGTAGATAATTTTACTAAATTATTTTGTTTTCTTGAAGTTCTTAAGAGTTAGACTACTTAAAAAAAAGTCAAACTTAAAAAAAACAAGACTATAAAATAAGTATGTCTGAAAACTTAAAGGCAAAGTATTTTGCTTCTGTATAAAGAAACTCTTCTTGCCCTAGCTGATGTGACTCAGTGGATAGAACACCGGCTTCTGGACTGAAGGGACTTGGGTTTGATTCCGGTCAGGGCACATGCCCAGATTGAGGGCTCAGTACCCAGATGGGGGAGCAGGAGATAGTCAATCAATGATTCTCTCTCATCAGTGATGTTTCTATTTCTCTCTCTCCCTCTCCTTTTCTTTCTGAAACCAATTTAAAAAAAAAAAAGAAAAAAGAAAAAAAGAAAAAAAGAAACTCTTCTTGATTCCCAATTCTTAACATGCATGAAGACTATTTAAAAAAAAAAAAAAAAAAAAAAAAAAAAACCACAGTAAGTTTAACTACATTCAGATATTTGAGTTATATTGTTCTCATTTGCAAGAACAAATATTCTTTCTATTTTGGGTTTGGTTTTAACTAGAAAAAACTTACAAATTATATGCAGAATATGCCCTGGCTGGTTTGGCTCATTGGTTAGTGTGTCCTGGTCAAGGGAATGTACCTTGGTTTCCAGCTTGATATCCAGGCCCAGTTGAGGTGCATGCTGAAGACAACCAATCAATGTGTCTCTCTCATGTTACTTTTTTCTCTCTCTCTTTCTCTCTAAAAATAAATGGAGCCCTAGCTGGTGTGGTTCACTGGATAGAGCATTAGCTTGTGGACTGAAGGGTCCCAATTTTGATTCCCGTCAAGGACACTTGGCTGGGTTGCAGACTTGAACCCCAGTGGGGGCATACAGAAGGCAGCCAATCAATGGTTCCCTCTCATTACAATTCTATTTCTCTCTCTCCTTTTCCCTTCCTCTCTGAAATCAATAAAAAATATTTTTTGAATAAATGAATAAATAAATAATTTTTTAAAATATTGTAGGGTTTGATTGGCAAAAAAATAAAATAAAATTATACATAGAATATTTAATTGCATGGATTTTGTCCAGAAAGGCTTTCACAGGAAAGAGAAATTCTCTCATTTAAGATAAATCCCAAAATGATTTTTTTTTCTTCTTTCCTTCTCTTTCTCCACATCTTCTCCCTTATTTTATATCAATGAATAATGTAAAAAATAAAGTTCTTTCTAGGAGGTATGAAAAAAATTACTAATTATAAAGCTTAGCTCTTCTAGATTCTGATTCAGTGAGTCTATGGTATGAAGGCTTTAATACTGTTTCATTTTAAGTTTCCCAGTATTATAAGTATATATTCTGTATACCCAAAATAAATAACACTGCACAAGGTACCCAACCCATAAATTCCCTACCATAAATAAAAATATTTAAAAAGACAATTTTTCCATTTAAAAAGACAGGCACTCTAAGGTAATAATAACTACCAATAATAATTTAACACAAAGGAGGCAACTACTATAGTTAGTGTTCTGTGAGAATTAGAATATTTATGGTTATCAAGTAAATATTGAATATTATTTTTAAAAAAACAACTATTCAAATTAATTAATTGCCTTAAAGTCTGTGAGTTAGTCTTGTACCTCTCAGGTTTGTTTTCAATTACCAACAAAAGGCATTTGTGGTCATGATTTGAAATGTATTATACATAGCCAATTCCTCAAAAAGACAGTAAAACTATGGTACTTAGAAATACTTACTTTCAACTTTGGACAATGTACAGGGATGACAGTCAATCAACGCTAACTGAAAATGCTGTAACAGAAAAGTAAAAATAATAATGTGATAAATTTAGAGTTGCATAAAACTGGTTTAAATATTTAAGACAATTATGGTCAAATATATAATAATGAAATGATGTGGGGATTCCAAAATGGCCACAAAGTAAGTGCCAGTTACTCTGACCTGCTTCTAATGCCAAATCAGATCAACAGCTAAGTTATGGAACCATCAGCTGAACTGAAATTTGTAAGAATTTATGGAAGAAACCACATCAATACTGACAGCAAGGGTGGAGATATGAAACGGGATGTCCCTACTCCCAACCTTGGTGGTTATGATTGCAGAGAAATATCTAAGTTGAGAGAACTTCCCACTTAACTGGGGAAAATCTTGTCAAGGAGAAACTGCTGAGGCAAATTCATGCCAGGTTTCCCAGCCCAGAGCACCAGAGCTGGAAAGAGGAGCCCATCTGGATGTGAAAATAAGCAGAAATTCCATCCATCAAGAAAAGACAGAAGTCAGCTAGAGATCCTTTAGCCCATTAAAATGTCAATGCACAAGATCTTGTTTGCAGCTACTCACTCTGGGCTCCTGGGGAGGGAGGATGGAGCAAATTACAGTCACATGATGAGAGACTTGGGTTTGCTGCTTTTTGGGAAAATTATGTATGGGGGGAAAGCTTTTGGGATCCCTATGCTGATTCATATTTCATTATCTCAAAGGCAATCTTTCTTGGTGGAGAACCCCCCTTTCTTCCTGAATGGCACCAACCTGGGGGAATTCAATAGTCCCATCCTCTGGACTACCCTACCCCTATCCCCACCAGGCAGAGCTAAACCCTTATTGAGGAGTCAGTAACAGAGTTGTCTGAATGTGTAGCTGGGCCATTCCCCCTACTTTCTCATGACTCTGACTTTCCTTTCCCCATCAGATAGATTGCTGGAACAATCCCCTCTGTTACACTGCCATACCCCCACACATCCACCCTCAGGACTCTCACTCCCACCCAAACACACACTTAGTGGCTATGCCCAGCTGAGATCCAGGCAGAATCAGGACAGAATTAGCTATATGGCTCTGGTCAGGGCCACATCTTCCTCAAGCCCAATCAGCACTGCCCCCTCATGGGAGATCCACTATTTTCATCTTCCCAACTCACATGCCTAAACAAAGCAGAGTCCTCTCTTCACATAGTCAAATCACTATATAGATCTGAAAAATTCTGCTGGCCTCACTCTGATGACTGACTATAACCCTATCCCAATACAAGGTATATAAGAACCCTTGTATTGGGATAGGGTTATGTAAAAGCTAGTATGTAAAAGCTAGACATGGTATACCTACAGACATTTGCTGAGTAGCCTCACACACAACACTGGCATATAGTTTAGACTTGCATTAATCTGGTGATATACTGTGAGCCTATCTTAGGCAACTCAAGTACCACCAGAGGCTATTTCAGTGACTAAGCCTAACAGGAGGCCAGCAAGCAAAAGCAAATCTTGGAGTACCTTGGGACTTTTCCTAACCTGCACCCAGGACCAAAGCTGGTAAAAACCAGCTTTTCTGAATAGCTTGCCATATGCACCCAGGCCAAACAGAAGTAGCTACAACTATAATTATGAATTACTTATAGCTCCAAACAGGTTCCCCAAAGCCAATGATAGATAGTTTCTGAGATTAGCTTGCACAAGTTGCTCCCAAGAGGCCTGAAACAACACACCCAGTAGCCATATTCATACAACACCCTATATGGACTCAGTAAGTGTCACAAATGGCAAGTCCAAAGGAAAATCTGGTCAAGGAGAAACTGCTGAGGTAAATTCTCATTTACTGTGAGCAACACCTACACAGGCACTCCTATATCCTCATTAGGGTTAAGCCTCAGAGTTGATCCAAACCATGAGTGTGCAAATAACAATCAATACTCACTTATAACAGGGGGGCCTACACAACCCACCCACGGGATATTCCTGGAGCACCCTACTTAGGTGCTCAAGGAAACTTACACCAGCTCCCACAGGCCACCTTCTACAGAAAGGCCACCCAACAAAAACTGGGAGTCAGCAAATCTACCTAATACATAGAAGAAGAAAAAAAAGAGCTCTGGCTGGATTACTCAGTTGATTAAAGCATTGCACCAACACACTAAAGCTATGGGTTTAATTCCCATTAAGGGCATATATGACAATCAACCAATAAGTGCATAAATATGTGGAATAACAAATTGATGTTTCCTTCTCTCTCCCATACCTCTCCAAACAAACAAGAAAACAAATGAAGTAACAGCCAAAATGGGGAAGTTAAGAGGCCCCAAATGACAAAATAGGAGGAATCTCCAGAAAAAAAGAACTAAATAAAATGGAGGAATGCAATTCATTAAATAGAGTTCAAAGTAATAGTTACAATAATGTTCAATAGCTTGAAACAGAACAAAGGAAATCAATCAGAAATGAGTACACAAAAATGAAGAATATAATGGAAGAAACAATAAATGGGATGAAACAGAGTATCAAACCAGCAATTAAAAAGACAAAGTAAAAAAAAAAAATCTCTTAATAGTAATAAAATAATTTTTCAAATTGAGGCATAGGATAATGTATTCAGTGGTTATTGTTGTCCTACACACCAAAGAATCCCAGTTCTGATTCCTGTTCAAGGGTTTCTATTTTGGTGGTATGTTCACTCCCCACCGAATTTTCACCGAAACTGGTTTGGTTCAATGGATAGAGCATCAGCCTACGGACTGAAGGGTCCCGGGTTCAATTCCGGTCAAGAGCATGTACCTAGGTTGCGGGCACATTCCCGGTGAGGAGTGTGCAGGAGGCAGCTGGTCGATGATCTCTCTCATCGATGTTTCTGGCTCTCTATACCTCTCTCTTCCTCTCTGTAAAAAATCAATAAAATACATTTTTTTTTAATTCATAAATTTTCTTGAATTTAGCATTATTATTATTTATAGTGGCGGCAAAAAGTCTAGCGCCGGCCTTGAAAGTGTCACTTAAGACTATACATAATTTTATTTATTTATTATATTTGTAAATCATACATTGAAATTTAAAAAATTATATTACAATACTATTTTTGCGTTCAATTAAAATTTTTGTTGCTTCATATAGACCAAATTTTTAATCAAGGAACCCCCCTTGCCCTCAAATCCAGTCAACAGTGTCCCACTTTATCAATGTTAAAATCTGGTCACCTAACATATAACATCTACATCACAGGGAAAGAAGGAAGAAGGGGGAGGAGGGGAGGGTAAAAAAGGGGAAGAGGAAAAGGAGAAAGAGAAGGAAGAGGAGGAGGAAGAGGAAGAGAAGGAGGAATAATCAAGAACCTCTTTTAAGAAATAATGACCAGCCGAAATCAATTTGGCTCAGTGGGTAGAGCATTGGCCTGCGAACTGAAAGGTCCCAGGTTCGATTCCCATCAAAGACATGTATCTGGGCTGTGGGCACATTCCCAGTAGGAGGTGTGCAGAAGGCAGATGATAGATGTATCTCTTTCATCAATGTTTCTAACTCTCTATCCCTCTCTCTTCTTCTCTGTAAAGAAGAAAAAAAAAAAAAAATCAATAAAATATATTAAAAAAAAAAAAAAGTAATAATGACCAATTACTTCCCTAATCTATTGGAGAAAAAGGGACACAGTGCATGAAGTACAAAAAATCCTAAACAAGATGAATCCAGGTCCCACACCAAAACACATCATAATTAAAATGTGAATGCTAAAGACAAAGAGATAACCTTAATAGCAGCAAAGGAAAGATAATAATTACCTATAAGAAAACTTTCATAAGACTATCAGCTATTCTCTCAACAGAAAAAGTTCAGTCTAGAAGGGATTAACAAAATGAGCCAATGAAGTAAGTGTTGGTTCTTTGAAAGGTAAAAAAGATAAATATTATAAGACTCATCATAAAAAGAAAAGAGAAAGGACCCAAATTAATAAAATTAGAAAGACCAGAGAAAAAGTAACAACTAACAACAAATAAATACAAAATATTTTAAGAAAATATTATGTCCCTAGCCGGTTTGGCTTAGTGGATTATTTCATCATTGATGTTTCTCTCTCTCCCCTCTCCCTTCCTCTCTGAATCAATAAAAATATATCTTAAAAAAAGAAAATACTATGAACAACTATATCCCCACAAATTTGAAAATCTGCAAGATATAGTAAATTCCTAGAAACATCAATCTTCCAAAACTAAATCAGAAAGTTTAAATAGCATAGACATATTACAACTAGTAAAACTGAACAGTAATTAAAAAACTCAATAAAACAAACAAACAAAAAAACTGGGTCATACTGCTTCACAGATAAATTTTACTAAATATTCCAAGAACATCTATTCTTCCCAAACCATTCCAAAAAATTTAACAGGAAACAAGACTCCTAAGCTCATTTTAGGAAACCAGCATTATCCAAATTTCAAAATGACATAAAGATACTACAAAGAAAGCAAATTATATGCCAATATTCCTAAAAAACATAACATCCTTACAACATATTAACAAAGGAGATGCAGTAATAAATATAAAAAATGGCTCATTGGCTGAGAATCAACCTATAAACCAGGAGGTCAAGGTTCAATTCCCCATCAGGGCCTATGTTAAGGTTACAGGGTTGATTCCCTAAAGGGAGTATGGAGAAGATAACCACCTCATGATTCTCTCTCATATTAAGGTTTTTCTCATTCTCCCTCTCACTTCCTTTCTGAAATTAATATACATATATATATATTTAAAATAGATAGATAAATAAATAAAACATTATACACCATGATCACATGGGATTTATTCTAAAGATATAAGGTTGGTAGAATATATACAAATCCATAAGCATAAGACATTTAAAAAAAACACACAATTTTATCCATACTAGTAACTGTAGAAATATTTGACAAAATCCAGCACTGATTTATGATTTTTTAAAAATTCTCAGGAAAGTGAGAGTAGAGGAATCATTCTATCTAATAAAAAGATAATATGCAAATTAACCATCACTCTGCAACAAAAATGCTGCCCTTGTGA